CAATCCCTAACGTTCTGTGATTCTGTGTATCCAGATCACCTTTCACTCAGTCTGTGTTTTCAAACCACTGTGGATATTTCTTTTTGTTCATTATGGTGTCAAATGCATTAATAACACAACTGTGTAAGCATTTGTTTAGAAACAAACCAAAAGACTTCCCTTACTCCTTCAAAGGGCTTGTAGTTTCCAATTTTTTTCTCTGTTTTCACGTTACAGTTTGTTATAAAGTGATTTAGCACCACTGCCTAAGAGTTATGTGTTCCATGTAAAGCACTGCAAGAACACATTTTGATCTGACAGTACAATCAGGTGTAGATAACTGGGTCTTGCTGGCTGCAATTTGCTGCTTTATTTTCAGCTATGCTGGAAGTACAAAGTCAATGTGTACTTTCAAGGCATGGTGATTATGAAATTATTGCTTTTAAGGTTTTTATCAGAAAGACCTTCTGGGACTTTTGTGTGGCACAGACTAGATAAAAACACTCCTTTTTTTGTTTTCTCTTTCAAGCCTACTCATGTTTTCTCTGTTTTCTTAAATGAAAACCTATTCTTGGAAGATAGTACACTCCACTTGGATAAATAAAGCATCCACAAGAAATTTATTTTGAAGAGCGCTAAAGCAAAAATTTAAGCAGGATTGAAGTTGTTATAATAAATACCCTGGCTCTCTCCAGGCATTGTTTTTTCTTCCAATTTCTGTATTCTTACCAGTATTAATAGCTGTTATTCCCTTGTAAGTTTTATTAATGTTTTTATTTTAATCCTGTAGAGATTTTTTTCCCAATTAGGTTTTTAGCCTCATAGCAAAATAAGGCTAAAAATGAGGCTTCTTCACTGAATCTGTAGCAACTTGAGGTAACATCCACCTCACTTTCTTTTAGAGCTATAATATAAATTACTGCAGTTGAGGTGCTAGTCCTGAACTCTTCCTATTATTTAATAGGGAAAATCTGGCACTTTCACTGCTCAACTTCAGCTGTTTACTTTGGTATTAGATGCATTATGACTTAGGACTCCAGTGGCTTCATCTGCATTAACTATGAAGAGAACCTGACATGAAAAGATTAGCTCAAATAGAGAATACCTATGCTGTAGGTATTTAATGAAATGCAGTCTCATTCAAGGAACTAAACATGACTAAAGTAGCTAATTACTATTTAAATGTGCTGGCCTTTAATGAGACAGTTATATTTTAATATTGGATGTCTTCTTCTATTTAGAGCATTTTACATATAATACAAAAACTCTAATGTTGAGAAGGTAATTTTCCATACAGTGATATTCTTAAATTGCAATTTGGTGACATTTTATATGTTGTCCTTTACTCAAGAAGTATTAGATATCGGGCATTGGTAGTAAGGCATAGTGGACCCCTTACATTTTCTGTCATTTCACTTCAGGGCTTAAAGTGGACGAAAGAAAGATTCACTGCATTTTCACTTTCCATCCTCTTGAACATTAGTGAATCTAAGATTCGCTTTTGCCTTAATGATGTTGAAATATTTTCAACTTCACAACTGGAAAGTTATTTTCCATGTCATGTGAAGACTTGTTTGCATATCCTATTTCAGTCAATATGTTTGTGGCAATTTTTGCAAAATTTCACAGGAAAAAAATTTTTTTGTGATGGAATGATGTTTAGAGTATGTTGGCCTTGTCATTGTAGAGTTTGATTTTTCCTTAGTAGTTGCCGTGATTTAATGTAAATGAAACAGCTGGGAAATTTTACACAGTTTTCTTTCATGGTTAGACCTCAAATATTTGTTAGCCTGTAGATAACATAGTTAAGGCTAGTTCTAATTATTAGGCAAAGCTGTATTAATCTGAGCTGATGATAAACTCCATTATTCAAACTTATTTAATCAGCAGCAACAAAAGAATTCAACATTGTGTTCAATGAAAATGAGGCTGTGTGATAAACTTGCTTCTTGGAATGGCTCTGCAAAAGGACTGAGGTTTGGATGTTCAAAATGACCTTGCTTCTGCAATGGCACATTCTTTAATTTATAGGGTCTTTATTTGAGGATAATATTAATGAAGACTTTCCTAGTTTTCTGGTTTGTTTGGTTTTTGATGTTTAATAAGGCTTCATGTATAATATTCAAGTGTGTTTGAAGGGGAAGGGATGAAGTGGTAAGTCTTTCATCTTTACTATTGACAAGGTATGCAGAATTATTTCAGGTTTGCTACTGTTCAGTAATAAAAGTTGCCATGGCCATTGCAAGCTGTGCATCAGTCAGCTCTATCCATTACCAAACAGATTTCTGTTTGCTGGTGTGGCCTCCTCTCTCCTTTCTCCATAGTATGAATATTTGTCTTTTTTGTCTTTAGTAGCAGACCAATATGATTCAGTTCTTTCCACCTTGCCCCACAGTATGTGTCTAGATACATTTTTGCTAAATGTGCTTGATGCCAATGTGTTTGCAAGGATCTTATAAAAGCAGAAGTCTGACTAATATGTATATATGAGCACCCTGTTATATATGTTTCAGCTACAGAAGGAAATATTATGGAGTGTCTCAGAAAAGTTTCTTTCATGCCATAACTCCAGAGCTATATCTGCTATTCAGGTGAAAAATGTAGAGATGTGCACAGAGTCCTGTAAAATGTCCATTCACTCACTTGAAAAATCCACGCTCCATAGCGTAAGGGAATAAAATGTTTATGCACACATAGTTGTAGAATATGGTCAGTCAGCAACCTAATATATGTTTGAAATGCAACTTAGTGCACCTCTAACTGTTGTCATGTATTCTTTTCCTATCCAGGAAAGGATACTCTCTTTTTTTTGTACTATTTGGTGTTCAAATTTCTATCCCCCATGGTTTTTTCTTTCCTTTTCTCTCAAGTTTGTGTAGAGAGACTCTATTACACTTTGCTCTCTAGTTTAGATTGTGGGTTTTTTCGTTCTTGTAAAATTGTAAGTTTTAAAGGGATTTAGATAACAACACAGTTCATATTCATGATAAGGACTTTGCTTTCCAGAATTGTCTTTGATCATCCACATTTTCCAGAAAAAAAATTGGTTTTGCAGAAGATGAAATTTCCAGTTAAGTTTTGGTAAAGATCTTTATATTCTATAAGGAATGTAAAACTAAAAATGTCGGTTCTTTGTTAGGCAGAAAGCAATTTAAATTTTAGCTGAAAAGCTGAGAGAATGGTTAGTTGTTGACTGCCAACAGCCTCGCTGAGATTTCTCTGAAAAACTGGCTGTATTTCAATTAGAGGCAGCCTGTTAATAGAGCCCAAGTTTGTAATGATGGGGTTTAGATTCTTTTCATTAAGTAGCACATTTATGTGGCAAACTTCAGTGGCAAGTACCATGTTCTTGAAAGGAAAGTATTTTTAGTAAAACTTATATTAACCAACAGCTCTTATAGTTACAGAAATATGCAAGCTTAAAGCCTTTTCAGCAGAACAAAGATAACGTGTGAGAAAGTTTTGGAAATTTCCATAGAGACAAAAACTAAATCCATTGTGAAAAAGATTTTTCTAATAACTCGGCTGGATACAACAGCTTGCCAGATCTCAGAGTTGTCTCTCGCCTTCAAGGAGTAGTTTCCAGACCTCATGTTTTAAAGCGTGCTGAAAGTAAAAGTGACATCTCCTTGATAGGGAACAGTGGGTTCAGGAGGCACACAAGCAGAGAAATGTTAGTTTCAAAGAAGAGGGAAATACACAGCAGTTAAGATGAATCTTTCTTTAATCTGATGTATTGAGGTGTTCTTGATATTAGATATTGCTGCTGAAAAGTATGTACAAATATTTGTCCATCCACTTTGTACTTGTGAATCCTAATCTTCTGAGACTAGCAAGATAGAGCAAACTATGCTGTTATTGTAAGTTAATGTGTTGGAAATCTCTGTTGAAATGTACTGTTTAAATATTTCAGATGGAAATTGACACAGCACTGAGTGATCTGGAAGCAGCTGATTTTGCAGAGCTGGTAAAAAATTTTCTTTTATTTGTGTTGTTTGCATTGCACAGTATCTCTTTGCCTTGCTGTTATATTCCGTAGTTTAAAAAAAAGGACTTATTCCAAATTGATCTACTTTTTTAATCAAGTGGGAGTCAAAGCAAAGGTATACCGTATTATTCTTGTTTGGAAATTGCTCGGTTTTAACCACTCTGTTTATCCTGACTTTCTTTCCATGATTGACATTATTACTGTATTATAATCCTATAGGTTTAGTCACTGAAAACCCATAATTTACTGTAATTTAAGTCCATGGGATCTCTGCAAGGACACTCTAATTTCAACATAGCTGTTTGTTGTTACATTTCTTTTTTTCATATAGATAACGGTCTCCTTCACAAGCAATTGTGAACAGATGTGAAAACTTCTATGGAGCACTGAGAACTTAATTTTCCAGTTTGCAGAAGCAATTACAAGTTATAGATATTTTTAATACTGATAAAAGAGAAGATAGTAATTTACTTAGGTATCATTTGCTGTGCATGCTCTTTACTGTGCTATATAAGACAGATGTAAACATATTGACATTTCAGTTTTATTTTCTAATGAAATAGTTTTCTTAAACTCATGTTCCAGAAAAGTTATTTTAAAATTATATTCTTTACATGTATATTATAATTGGGCATAAAGATAATGTGTTTGATCACGTATTTAGCATAATAACTTGGGACATATATATTCTTAACTACAAAAAATACTTGATAATCCTTAAAACCTAAAATGCAAGGCAGGCAGACATGTAGTCCATCTTTGAAAAGAGTTAAAAAAAAAAAAGAATCACTGTACTAAAAAAACATAGTAATCATTTACAGAAAGCAATGGTTGTAAGTTGTAGTTTATTGCACAGAAATTGCACACACTAAATTTAAAATACGCTACATTCATCTAAAGTTAGTGTTACTAATCTTAGAGCATCACTAGACGTCTAAATTAAAAGGTAAATAACTGGGTATATTTTGGGTAAAATGTCAAACACTAGAAAAAAAGAATGCTTTGACTTGGAAGTTTTACTCTAGGAGGGCCTCTGGTGTCAGTAGTCATGCTTCAGCTACTTTGCTGTTAAGAACTGAGAATTAGCATATCCTAACAAAAATAGTTTATAGATAGAAAAAAAATAAATAGGAAATCTGTTATTTTGAGCTGAAAATTGTTAGATAAAATTGTAGTGACACAAAAATCAATAGTGGAGGCTAAAGGTATTTCATTTAACTGTTCAGTATTAACTGTCATACTGATAATAAGAAGTGGACAAAAATGAAAGTATTAAGCAAGATATTGATTACAATTGCCTGGAATTAGTTTACCTGCATTTGTTCAATAAAATAAAAATTCTGAATTAAAAATTATATTATGCTTTCTTTTCCACAGTCTGAAGATTTTTACGACATGAGAAGATTATATATGATCATGGGCTCTTGTCTCTTCTACAAGGTAGTATTAGTGATTAAGGCTTAAAGATTAGGAAACTGCATCTGGGAATCTAACCCAGTCATGGAGTAATGCTTTTCAGAACCTCATAACTATGAAGAAATATTTGATTGCTTTAAATGTGTATTTCAAGTAGCAGACCTAAAACTCAAACACCGTCACAGAAAAAAATGGTGTCAGGAAGTGAAATGTACTATATGATCAGTAAGAACAAAATAGTTGTTTGAAACTGTCTTATGAGAATTTTGTTGTATATGATCCAAGGACTGAAGAGAGGCAGTAATAAGAGACTAATAAGAGTCAATTCACTTGAGATTGTATGATATTCTCATTTTTTGGTCATTGCCATCTTTTGATAAAGATAACAGGTGATCTGTCTTTGATCTGTCTTTAAATCAAAGACTTGAGAAATTGGATTGATGGCTTTTTTCCCTTTGGCCTCATTTGTAAATTTATTTGTATTCATTAAATGTAGACAGTGTATTCAACAGCATAAAGACAGAGGAAGATAACAGGCTTTGCTTTAAGGAAACTTACATCCTAAGGATTTTGTTGTGCAATTGCTCTTTGTGCCGGTGTTGTGATGAACCTAAGCTGTTGCCACAAATGGAACTGCACAGTATCTACCATGACAGCACTTTAACTGTAATGCCCTTAGTGCTAGAAACACTGTTGTAGTATGTATCTTCTTTGGAAATGTTATTAATTGCTGTGGAAGCTCAGGTTTTTTGGTAGGCAGGAAATTATAATTAATGCACCTTAACTCTGTATGTGTTTTTAAAGCTGTTAAATGCATGTATTTCTTAGCTCATCTTTGATAATTTGCATGTATGCTGATAATCTATTTGTTTATATTTTAGTATTTTGATTCTTCAAACGTGGTGCAAAAGCTTAGTGTTATCTGTTGTACAACTGTATACCAAAAAGACAGTCTCTGGCCAGAAAGATTACAATCTCAATGCATGTGTAGCATGGATAGCTCTAGACGAAAAGTGCTTTTAAGTGATAAGCGGTAGTGTTGTATTTCTTACTGAATACACTTCCTTTTCTGTGTTTAATTAAGGGTTACTTGATTGGTAATCACTTGCCAAAGGAAGATCTTATTGATATAGGTTTATATTGTCGGCACTATTGTCTGTTACCCTTGGCAGCAGAGCAGAGGATTGGTCAGTTAGTGATATGGAGGGAAGTATTTCCACATCACCATATCCAACCATACGAAGTTTCAAGTTTTACAGGATACAGGGAACCTGAAGCAAGATACTTTTTACTGATAGTTGGCTTGGTAAGTTAACATTTCTCTGATGCTCTGTTTTGCTCTTGTGTGTGGTCTGTTGTTCAGCAAGATCAACATTTTATAAGCATTTTATGTAGTAATTTTACAAAATAGTCACATTGTAGCTGTTTCATGGGATAGAACTTCTCAGAGAGTAGCATTATTTATACATTTGTAAAGCTAGCAAGTTTAAGTATAAATTCTTGTTATTTCTATGCCTTTTTGCTTTGGCTGAAAATGTTTTTCCTTTCATGATTTTCAGGCAACTAATTTCAGAAATGTGTTTGGTTTTGTTTTTAAATGTGGACTTCTTAAACAACTAATGCATATGTAAATGATGCATTTTATGTTTGCATGATTAACTTAAATAACATGGTGACAGAATAATCTCCTTGGACATGATTTGATTAGAAAAAATGAGTAACTCCTCTGGAGATGACGAGGGAGTGTTGAATATAGTGCTGTATTTTGCCCAAGTATCAGATAAGATATAACTATGATACAGCACACACTGAATTTAAACCAAAGGCTAACATTACTACCTCCATGTTTACAGAGACACTTTATGCTGTGTGTCCTGCTAGAGGCAGGAGGCTGTGCATCAAAAGCTATTGGGAATCCCGGACCAGACTGTATATACGTAGATCAGGTCAAAGCCACTATACTTCAACTGGAAGGAATAGAGGCCAGCGTAGAGGAAAGGCTGGATTCTCCTTCCATCCCACCGTTATCTTGTGCTGACTGGTTCCTTCCTGCAACACGCGACAAACTGGAGAGCTTAACCACCTCACCCATCCGAAGTAAGCTACAAAATACTTCCAAATCAGTAACCACTCCAGCAAGCAAAAGGACCCTGTTTGGTGACTCTTCCTTAATGACACGTAAGCCAAGTCCTACAAGAAACAGTGGAGGACCTGACTACGGTAATGAAGGTCCTGCAGAAGATGAAAGCAGTAATCCACAATCTGTAGTGGATCAGGTCTGAGAACAAAGACAAATACAACTGATAAGGTTCTGGTGGGCTTGGGGGAGGTGGCAATTCCTTTGAAAACTCACTAAAGTAACTTTTTAGTTTTAAAAAGCATACTATAAAAAGTAAATCTAAGAGCCCCTGAATTCAGTAGAAAGTACTTCTGTTGTCTCGGGAAGCTTTGGGTCAACCTCACAGCTGTCATGGTTTTTTATTATGTCACTGACTGTAAATGTGTTTTTCACATGACTAATGTAGGTGCAGTTGCATTGGTATCAGTAGATATATTGGAGAATATCCCCAAAATAGTGGTGTAAACATAAGTTATCAGAACAAATAGCTGTACAGTTGTACAACTGCTTCTAATCCATTTTAGTCTAAAATAGGCTATAAAATACACTTAAGTAAATTGATGCAACTGTTGGGGCCTTTTAAAAAAATGCTATGTTATTTTCTTCTAAGTAGGTGATTTGTTGGTTTGATTCTATTCTTTAATTAGCTTTGTTTCCTCTGTTAGTTCATCTATCTGTTTGTTTTTCAGGTCACTAGAAAAAAACATACCCTACCAAATCCATTTCATTTAGGAACTCTCAAAAAGAACCTTTCAGAGAAAGATACAGAACTTCTTAATGCTATCAAGTAAGTAATTATTTTTATTATTTATTTCATTTTTAAGGCTTGGATCATTTCTTGAAGATGCAAAGATCAGAGGGGTTCTTGCATAATTTTAATCTAGCCAAAACTTTGCTCTGGATTCTCAAGTGAAGCTCTTAAATGGAGAGCTTCATTAGAAAAGACAACTGTTTCTCAAGAATGCATCAGTAGAATGTGTGCACATGTCCCACATATATGTGACTCTGGAAGCTCAAATAAAAAGTTTTCAGACCACACATGTGCCTTGTACCTCCCTGGTATTTCTAGGTAGGTGTACAAAGGACAAAGAAGCCATGATCTTTGCAGTTCCCACTTGTTGCTTGTGACAGCACAGTCTGCTCTCGTGTTTTGTTTCAGCTCTAAAGAAAGCCTGCTGCTTTTTTTTTTTATTCCAAAGCTTTTATTTCTCCCTTCCTTTTTTCTTTTTTGGTGAGAATTTTTGAGAACACAAGTGCAATATCTAACTACTACCATAGTTTTTGTTTTACTCTTAAATTGAGTATTAACAGTCTAAATTAGCAGTATTTCTTTCCTTGGTGTAGAAGTAGGCACTTCTTGAATGTCTGTATCTATTTTTTTACACTATTGTAGTTACCAGAAAAACAATTCTGTCTTAAGAAACAAAAGTGTATGTTGTTTATCTGAAATTTCTTTCAAAATTTTTAGAATATTAAGTGAATCCTCCTATTTTTGAAGGTTGACATCTGGTCCTGAGAATACCCTCTTCCACTACCTATCTTTGGAAACGATGCATGGAATCTTTATTACTCCAACTCACAAAGAAGTAGCACAGCTCGGTGGGTCCATCCACCCTCAGTTAATTGAGAATTTTCATCGTTGCTGTCTTTCCATTCGTTCCGTTTTCCAGCAGTCCATGATGAAAGAAGTATGGAAGCTTTGTTTTCTGTTTCTCTATTTACATTCTCAACTCGGTGTTTCAAGATTGTTTTCACTTCATTATTTAAATAGTTCACTAGCAGGTATATTTGAACGTGTGTGGTTGTTTTTAAAGCTCCTGATATTTTTACTGTTATGAGCAGGTTCTTTCTCTGACCATCCAACCAAGTATGCATACAGTTACGGCTCTCATTTAAGAAAATGCTCTGAGCAAAGTGCTTCAACTGTTTATTTAAAAAATAAATTCCTGCCTGTCCAAGTTTATTCAGTAGGCTTTTTGCTATCACAGCTCTTAATGAGGGAGGCACACAGAGAAAGAAAGATGAGAGCGTTAGCTGTTATAACACACTTTTTTAAAAGAAGCTGCATTATCTCACATGTCTTATTAGAGAAATGGTGTTCAGCTAGAAGGGGAAAAAAAATCAAAAAGGGAGCATGTGTCTACCTCCAGGTTGTATAACAATGAAAAAGCCTGTTGATGCCCAAGTAACGAAACTGTGGAGAAGAGAAGCGTGTAAGCAAATTCATGGTATCTTCTAAGTCTGGCCTTTTGACAGCAATGTCATTCTTCAGAGATTCCTGAAGAAATCACATTATAGTTCTATCTGCTAGTGTTTATATAAAAATATTTCAATCTATACTAACGTTTCACCATTTTTTTTACAGAAAAAGAAAAAAGCAGGCAGTGGGATTTCAGAATTTTGTAAGGCAGATGAAGACCTCGATATAGTAAGAGAACATGGAGTCTTGTTTGAGTGCTCTCCTGGTAACTGGACTGATCAGAAGAAGCCACCACCAACAATGAGTTACTGGGTTGTGGGGTGAGTTTATTAATTAATTAACAAATTAATTGTTATTATTAATTAACAAATTAATGCGTTTCCCCCAGAGTTTTCCATTTTGAATGTGCCACTATACTCTTTAAGAATAAATTTAACTGTAGCACATCACGGAAACTTGAGCTGACTTACTAAGGTGGCTTTGATTTGGATCTGGGAAGTTGCATTGGTGTGATGCTTCACCTGCGGCAAGACGTAAGTATGGTAACTCTGGTGAGGCCCAGGTGCTGCTCTGTGCTGTGCAGACATCCTCACGTGTTGTAACCATGCTGCATCAACCTTGCACTTTCTTTGTGCTCCTCACACTCCTCCTGACCTCTCCATTCCCTGCTTTGCAAGTAAATCCCACCTGTCTCACCTCCATGCATAATGCTGATTCAGTGATACAAAGAAGGGGAACAATTGTAGCTACTAGATTTTTGTTTGGTTTGGTTTTGGCTTTTGTTTTTCCTTGGGAAGATGAAATTAACCTTCCAGTCTACTAGAGATATTTTGGAAAGGCAGTTTTCTTTCCTGTTTGCTTTCAAAGTTCTGCCATAATCATTGCAATTGGATTGTGTTTTGTGTTACTGTTTAAACTTAATTTTAAATTATTTTCTTGGTGAAGCATTTAGTTATTGCTACATTGCTAAGTCTTGTTTGCATGATGGAACAGCATACTGCCCTAGACATAAAATATTAAAAATAATACATTTTTAAAAGGAATTAAATTTAGGAGTAATGAGAGAGGAGTATGTATCATTTCTTGACAAATCGGAATATATTGGATCTTAATTTAAGTCCAGCCCAGTAAGCCCTATTCTGTAGCCACCACTTCTGCTATGTTATTCTTTCCTCCATCTCCTGTATTTTGTGCTGTCTACATTCTAGCTGCAGTAAGCAGACAGTCAGGATTAATCAACAGGATGTTCCCATCTTTCCTGCATTCATCTTCTGTATTTGATATTCCTACTAGAAAAATATAAAGAAAAATGCAAATGTTCTGTTGAATGGAAGCTATGCTTCCTCCATATGAAAAACAAATTCAGTATGGGCATGTGGTGAAAGGAAGTTAAATGAGTATGCTTGATTAATTCATTAAATTATAATCACTGACTAGTTCAACTGTTGCGCAAATAGGAGAGTCAGAAAACACAAAATACACTTCTGAATATGGCATAAGAACTTTTTTTCTGATAAAATGAGAGGAAATGTCATTCACAGGTGATTATATTGGCCAGGAGTAATAATGCAGACATTCTCTAACAGAGCTTTTGTTCAACTCATTTGCCTTCAAGTCAGATGTCTGAAGATAAAAAACAATTGTATCCCACCTGCAGTCTGTGTGTGCCAACAAGCACTGTCATTGGGGTTGGAAAAATTAAAATCTTTAATTTAAGCATTTTTAAAATGTTTACACTGCTGTTGATACCTTTTGAAAATTTTTTTTTTCAATCTTTGCATTATCAAACAACGTGTTAGATGAGGGTAAATAAGTATTTTCAGAGCTAGATGCTATGCTATAATGCTACACACAGTTACACGGAGGTATTAATAGCTTTCCTACTTTAGTAGTGCACTGACATGTGGGAATGCACCTACCCAGATGTATGAAGTTTAAAAATCAGTAAATATGTGACTACTGGGGCTTGCTCCTGAATACCTTGATTGCAGCTTGTAGCCCAGAAACTTGGATTACTGCAAACACAAACCATACAAATAGATACTGAAAACTTAAACAATTTTTTCATATGCAGTCTTGAGAAAGCTGAGCAAAGAATAATTTTATTTAAGAATCTAATCTACTGAAAGTAGTAAGATAATGCAGGAGAGCCACAGAAATTTGCTGTCTTGCATAGCAGTTGTTCTTAATGTCTTACTGACACCTCGGAGTACAACCAGAATATATTGAACAGTTGAGGAGAAAAAGTTGACACCTGTGACAGTTGTTTTTTGTTTTCTTTTTCCCCAGGAGACTCATCCTACATCCAAAACCTCAGGAGTGTTATGTCTGTTTTCATGACTCAGTCACAGACGCTGCTGTTGAACTGGCCTTTAAACTTTCCTTCGGCTTAGCCACATAGATGAGCTTCCTGAACATTCAGCCATCCTGCAGGGCGTTGTCATCTCTTCAGTAGAAAGAGAAATTAACTCGGTTGTGGTGCCCACACATGATGTATCTTTGAAATGCATTAAAAAACAATAAATCTGTCTGGTGGTATAACACAGCTAAAACTTCAGTGATGATTCTGATGACCTCATCAATTGAATACTTCAAAAGATTTCAGAGAACCAAAGTTCTTGTTTTTATATACTGTTGAATTAGTTATCTTGACCATAACTGTATTATATGAAAACATCACCTATTTTGTACATTCACTGCTGTTAAGTGTATAATATTCAATGTAAAATGATAAGCTGATATTCTCAAAGTGCACTCTGAATATCTGGCAATCGGTGATGGAGGAGAAAAAAAGTTTTCCAATTGATGAAAATGTTGCACTTCTAAGGGTGTGAAGAATACTGAATGTTTTCAGTAACATTGTGTTAATCAAAAAAGAAAGGCATCTTAGCCAGTTCGTGGCACTTAGCCACACAAAACTAATGGCTTATCATTTTTGTCAGTATGGTCTCCTGCACACTTGAGGACACATACAGTGTGGTTAAAAGTTTTACTTGACTTTATGAGTTTTAATTGTAAATAATACTTATATTTGTTAAAACACAATTTTGAAGGCACAAAAGAAGATGTGGGGGAAAGGCAGGGATGGTTTTAAGACATATGCATGGACTCTGCTAGTTTTATATTAATAATTCCATAATTAAAAAAGTATATTTGCCAAAGACCAGTGAAGTGCTGTTGTTTTTTTTATTTATTTAACATATGTTCTTTGTTCTTTATTCAAACAATATTTGTTTAGCTAGGTCTTCTACAACTTACAGCTGAATATTAAAAAAAACAGGTTACATCTGTATAAGGCAAGGTGTTTGCAAAATCACAATTCTTCTACAAAATTCAGCTTTCCTACAAATTGTTGAAAGGTTCGTAATCTACAGACCAGCTCTTCCTAAAGCTTTTTTGACTTAAGGTTTAGGTTAAAAAGTAAGATTTTTTGGAATCTTTTTACCCTCAGCCAGCACATTTAGATCTGGTCATCTGCATAGCATTTCATGTTCCATGTCAACAGTGCATTTTTTTTTCCTTTTCTGCTGTTTCTACTTGCTTTTCTTGAGTGCTTTCCATGAAATGCATGACTAAAGTTGTGTTTTAAACAATGGGATCAAAAAGTTTAAGTATTCAGGAAAGTAAATTAAGTTCCATAGGCTCTCATGATCAAATCTTTAGATCTTGTTTTCACTGTTAAATTACACTGTTTAGAGTAGTTCTAAAATAGTCAATCAAATGCTTATAACTGCCCCCTTTCACAGAGTGAGTCACAGCTTGTCTTGAATCACTCAACAGTTGCTTTAATTCCAAGCAGCGGAAGTCTTAGGCCTGATGTTTAAGCATATGATTGAAGGTTCTGTTAATCAGGGTTCTCCAGAATTTATGGTTCCTAGAAGATAAGAAATAGTATTACAGAACTGAGTGACTTCAATAATGCTTTAGATCTGTTCCCATCTGCAAATTAAGTGATGTGAGATTTGCTGTTTGAAAAATAAAAATATGTAGTAGCATGGATAATGCCTGAACAGCACCTTTTAAAAGTCTACAATATGTGGGATTAGAATACTAGATTTCTTTGTAGATGGAAGAAGGAACATAGAAAAGCAGGCAGTCTTTGCTGTGCTGCTTTTAGCAAGTTTAACAAATTTTACAGAACTTTCATGTGTGTTTGTGCACATTAAGAGTCTGTGTGAAATACAGTAATTTTGTTGATGTTTGACGCATTTCAATCTTTTAAAGGCTGGGCTGTATGGTTTCAATGCTGGGGGAGGGGAAAGAAAAAAAAGGAGAATGTTTGAATGCTTTAAAAAGAGGATGTTCAGACAGCTAACTTGTATCCTTGTGTTTAGTCAGACTGCTGACTTCAGACCTTCAAAACTCACCAGTAAATGGCAAACAAGACACAAACTTAGGTCTAGTTAATTCTGCAAGCTTACCAGACAACTGTCGGTCTCTTTTTATTTTGGGTTGGGTTTTTTTGATAGGTTACTTTCCTGCCAGTGTAGTGGGTTAACCTCAGTTGACTAAGCTGGGCCAAACACACAACTGAGTCAATGCAGAAGAAACAGTGTGAATATGTAGATATGTGTGAAGAAAAGAACTGAAGGAAGGGGGACTCCTTCAGTACCAATCGCTTGCTCCTTCACCAGAAACCGTACCTTGAAAAGAATTAAGGGCATCCAAGTATAGCATGACTTTTATACTCA